GAGAAGCACGAGCGCACGGGGGGGCGGGCAGGCGGAGGGACATGACGGAGAAGCACAAGAGCGAGGGGGTAGGGGCAGGCGGAGAAGCTCGAGCACAAGGCAGGGTGCCGACGGAGAAGCATGAGGAGAGGAGGGGCAGACGGAGAAATACGAGCGCACGGGGGCGGAGGCAGGCAGAGGGGCATGAGCGCACGGGTTGGGGGTTGTCGATGGAGAAGCACAAGCGCGCGGGGGGAGGGGCGGACGGAGAAGCACGAGCGCAAGGCAGGATGCCGACGGAGAAGCACGAGCGCCTGGGGCAGGCAGAGGTGCACGAGGCGCGGTGTGGCAGACGGAGAAATACGAGCGAGCGGGGGGCAGGCGGAGGGGCAGGTGGAGAAGCACGAGCGCACGGGTGGGGGGGCCGACAGAAAAGCACGAGGTGTGGAGGGGCAGGCGGAGAACAATGAGCGCATGGGGCAGACGGGGGCGTTGCAGATGGCGAAGTATGAGCGCATGAGGCAGGCGGAGAAGCACGAGCGCAGGGGCTGGGGCGGAGGGGCGGACAGAGAAGCACGAGGCACGGAGGAGCAGATGGAGAAGCACGTGGGGCGGGGCAGGCGGGGCACGTGGAGAAGCACGAGCACATGGGCCAGGCAGAGAAGTAGACTCCTTGCTGAGCCGGGAGGCCGATGTGGGGCTCGATCTCGGGACCCTAAAGTCACGAACTGAGGTGCAGATGTTTAACTGATTGAGCCACCCAGGTGCCCAGAAACTTCTTGTAGGTTAACTGGTTTATTGGCGTAGAGTTCTTCACGGTGCTGTATAGTTTTTTATTTCTGTACAGCAGTAGTACTGTCCTTCCGTTTTTGAAATAAAATCAGTAATTTCATGGGGCGCCTGGGTGGATCAGTCGGTTAAGCGTCTGCCTTTGGCTCAGGTCATGATCCCAGGGCCCTGGGATTGAGCCCCACGTCGGGCTCCCTGATCAGCGGGGAGCCTGCTTCTCCCTCTTCTCTGCCTGCCACTTTCCGCCGCTTGTGCATGTGCGTGCTTTCGAGCACTGTCTTTTTCTGTCAAATAAATTTTTTTAAAGTTATTTTAAATCTATTTTAGTACATTTAAAAACTAAATGTTTTCGTTTTTAGTCTAGCGGAAAGATTTGTTAATTTTGCTTGTCTTTTTCTAAACCGACCTTTGTTTTTCTTGATTTTTTTTTTTTTATAGGGTTTTCTTGTCTTTATTTCTGTTCTACCCTTTATCTGGTGTAGCTTTGGGTTTATTTTTTCTAGTTCTTAGGTTGTAAAGTTAGGGTTTTGATTTGAGATCTTAATTTTTTAAGGTAAATATTTACAACTCTTAATTTCTGTGTCTTAGCACTGTTTTTGTTGTATTCCATAAAGTTTGGTATGCTGTGTTTCTATTTCCATTTTTCTCTAAGTATTTTGTAATTTCTTTTTTCTTTGACCCACTGGTTAAGAGTATGGTGCTTAATGTTCACAAATGTGTGGATTTTCCAGTTTTCTTTTACTGATTTCTAATTTCTGTATTCGTGGATTAAAATATTTTGCATGGTATCTCTCTTTTAAAATCTTGTTTTCCATCTTGAGCTGTGACGTTAAAAGTACAGTCTAGATAAGTTTAACACCTGCGTATTTTGGATTTTTTTTACACTTCTGTTTTGCCCTTTTCACCTTCAAAATTAATAATGGTTTGTGTTTTTTCAAGGTATATCTAGCAATTATTTATATTTTTAAGGTATCTTAATTTTTAAAACCTCATCATCCGCCTAGGGAATACCTGCAAGGCAAGAGATTTAAGTCTCCATTTTCTTTTTTTTTTTTAATATTTTATTTATTTGTTCATGAGAGACAGAGGGGGAGAGAGAGAAGCAGAGGGAGAAGCAGGCTCCCCGCTGAGCAGGGAGCCCGATGCGGGACTCGATCCCAGGTCCCTGGGATCATGACCTGAGCCGAAGGCAGACGCTTAACCATCTGAGCCACCCAGGCGCCCTAAGTCTCCATTTTCTAATTGTGAACTTTGGAAGAAGAGGTTGTTCACATACACGAGCTGGACCTTAAAATCTCTTCTGAAAGTCGAGGCAGGAGCTCTGGGAAGTTGGTTTTGTTCCTGTCCTGTCCCCTCTTCCCTCCTGAGTTTGCTCCCTTTCCTTCTGCCTGTCGCTCCTCCTGCTTGTGCTCTCTCTCCCCCTTTCTCTGACAATAAAGAAAATCTTTGTTTTTTAAAGATCTTATTTATTTGACAGAGACACAGCAAGAGAGGGAGCACAAGCAGGGGGAGTGGGAGAGGGAGAAGCAGGCTCCCCGCCGAGCAGGGAGCCCAATGCGGGGCTCAATCCCAGGACCCTGGGATCATGACCTGAGCCGAAGGCCAGACGCTTAACAACTGAGCCACCCAGGCGCCCCAGAAATAAAATCTTAAAAAAAAAGTTTTGTAGTTTGATGTAGTCCCACTTGTTTATTTTTTATTTTGTTGCTTGTGGTTTAGTTGTCCTGTCCAAAAAAAATGAGTATGAGGACTCATGTCAAGGAGGTTTTTTCATGTTTCTAGGCGTCTGATGGTTTCTGGTCTTACATTTAAGTCTTAATTTATTTCAAGTTAATTTCTTTGAGCAGTGTAAGGTGGGATTTCTAGTTTCATGTTTTCACATGTGAATATCCAATTTTCGCAGCACCATTTATTGAAGAGACTGTCCTTTCTCCATTGAGTATTCTTGGCTCCCTTGTCAGATAATAATTTCTCATATACATATGGGTTTATTTCTGCTTTATGGTGTTTATGTTTAATGATACCACAGATAACTTCAAACAAAGAGTATTCAAGTGTTTACAGAGTCACTAGGTGAACTTGCCCCAAGTATACAGGTGCTCCGTTAATGGGGGGGGGTGGTCTTGGAGGTCTTGCTCTCCCCAAGGAGAGAAGTTATGAGGTTACTGGGCTTTACAGCATCCTTAAAAGCCATGAACTTGGGAGGCAGGGGCCCTGCATCCCTTTTCCTTGGCTGGATTCTTCCATGCCTGGGAGAAATGATTGCTGCTTCCAGTCTGAGGAGCCTATATACTAAAAGGCTCCACGTGCACCATGTCCCTGGTGCGTAACTTACCTGTGAGAAATGACCTGTGCTATGTCTGTCTTTAAGCCACCCTACATCCTGCAGCAGTGCTGCTGAGATCATGTCCGTGCTGTTTTTCCACACCATGAGATATAAACAGGAGGATCCGGAGAACACAGACAATGACCGTTTCATTCTCTCCAAGGTAAGCAGCCCGCACAGGAGCCCAGGGCCTGCTCAGATGCTTGCTTTTTAAAATGGTTTTAAAAGCCACTGTGTGGTAACAAGGCCTGAAGTGGGTTCTGTTTATCTTTTTGGTTCTTATTTGTTTCATGTCTTAGTCTGTTTAGTCTGCTATAACAAAATAACTGCAGATTGGGTGGCTTATGAACAATAGAAATTTATTTCTAACAGTTCTGCAGACTGGAAGTCCAAGGTCAGGGTCACATGGTCACATTCTGGTGAGAGTCTTCTTCCTGGTTGCAGATTTTTTATTATATCCTCACATAGCAGGAGAGGAAATAGTCTCTAGGGCCTCTTTTATAAGGGTACTAATCCCATTTGTGAGGGTTCTGCCCTAGTGACCTGATCACCACCCAAAGCCCTCCCCACCTCTTGTATAAAATCTTTGTTAAAAAAAAATAATAAAGTGTTCTAGCAAGGACTACAGTGGTGGGAAGGATGACTTAGGGCAACTTGCCACCCTTCCTTTCCTTTGTTGGTGCCCTGCCTTATCCCACCTAGCACTAAAGCCCCCCTTGATAGGGTCGTGCTCCAATACTCTGCCACCTGGGTAGAGGTGGGCAGCAGCGGATCTGACTAGAGGTGGGCAGCAGTGGATCTGACTTGCCTGAGCTCAAGGAAAATTAAGCTTAACTTGGAGAGATAGTCCACCTGTCAATAACCTTTATTTTTCATGTCTCTGTAGATCTGATCTGACACAATGGGGGTCAATAACCTTTATTTTTCATATCTCTGTAGATCTGATCTGACACAATGGGGGTCTTTCTCATTATACTAAGTATAGTACCAGGTACTTCATGACTTTGGGGAACAGGAAAGAGGAGTGATGTTAAAAGCAAGGTCAATCTAGAAGAATGTGCAGTTCTTTTGATGTTATCTGAAAGTTTGCTGTGTCCTAAGCAAAACATTTAAAATTGAATTGGTAGAACACCATGTACAAACAAACCCCAGATCTGGGCAGTGGGAATTAGTTTAAAGAATAAAGACAGAGGGTGCCTAGGTGGCTCCGACAGTTGACTGTCTGACTCTTGATCTCAGCTCAGGTCTTGATCTCATGGTCATGAGTTCAAGCCCCATGTTGGGCTCCACACTGGGCATGGAGCCTACTTTAAAAAAAAAATAAAGTCAGAATATGGGTGTGGCTGAAGTACCTGGGGTCATAATTTTGACCCTGTCTTGGTGTCTGAAAAGTAATCTCAAATGAGGTTTATCAAAATTTATGAGTGTGTGTGTAGAAAGAGCAAGATGAAGCAAAAATGGTCCATTAGCAGTGAATCTGGGTGAAGAATATATGGGACTTCATTGTACTATTCTCAAAACTTTTCTGTAAGCTTGACCTTACTTCACGATAAAAATTGAACAAATGTAGATGTAGAAACACAGTATGAGCATTCAGATCTGTGGTTTAAAAAATGGTAAGATGGCTAGACTGTCCCATAACTGGTGCTATCATATTCATGGTTATTGGCCTGAGAGCGATAAAGAGGCTTTCTGGTGTGCAGTAGCAGGCTGGGCACTGTTTAGCTGCCAGAACTTATATATTCATCAGATTTAAGAAGCAGATAAAATTGGAAGGAAGGAGAAAACACATAGCATAGTCCATCACGGCATTGGCTGAGAATGGAATAAGTGGACTTGCTACAGCGAAGGAGCCAAGGTCTTCACGACTGGTGCTTCTGGGGCGTGAACGTCCAACACAAACAACTGCATTAGGAGGCTCACAGTTAAGGCCTGGCAGTATTGGTGTTGCTGACTGTGAAGTACTGTGAAGGCTTGTGAGGAGGGTCTTGTGATCCCCCAATTCTCCCCACTAGGCTTTTGTTTTTGATTTATCAGCTCTTGTTTTCTCCAGTCAAGCAGGCCAGAGAAGAAACCAAAAGGCTTTTTTGTAAACTTGTTCTTTGTGCCAGAACAAAGGTGAGAAATATCACCTGAGGGAGAAGTCTTTTCTGAGTGGACATAGCACCTAGTATGCATTTTTATTCTAGCTCTTGCCCCCCCCAAATTGTGAGTGTATCCCCCTACACCCAGCATAAAGGGTCCTTAGGGAAGAAAAGGGAACCCATGTGGGAGTACTTCCATGGTGCCAGGCATCATGCTCGTGCCTGCCAGTCTTCTCAATCAGTTCTACAGCCTCCTGCTGCCTGAGGGGGGACTCTTCGTCATACCCATAAAATGAAGAAGCCTTGAAGAAGTGGGCTCACTTCCACACACCCCCCCACCCGCTTTAAAGCCAGGGAGAAGCAGAGTTGGTCTGAGTGCAGAGCCCAGGCTCAGTCTCAGGGCACACAAGGCAGCTGGGGGCCAGACCTTATTATGGGAGTAAGGCTAGGAACCATGGGGTGGAAGAAAGAGCTTCAGTGGTATGGTTCTGCTGGGCTAGAGATGGAAAACAGAGGGAGCCTCTGGGGGCACAAAGCATGTGAAGAAAAGCTCGAGAAGGTTAAGAGCCCTGGGAGGAGCAGGGGGCTAGGGTGGAGCAGGACGGGAGAAGGATGAGACTAACAAGTACCATCGGCCCATCTGTGATAGCAACAACACCTAATTCTTCGCTTGAATGGAGCTGACATTGGTGGGAAGGGTCAGACAAGAAACCTAGATAACCAGCATGTCAGATGAGGGCTGGAGTGGACAGGCTGGTGCAAGAACTTGGGGTCTACTTGGCAGGAGATGGAGAGACCTTCGATGGGTCTCTCTGCAGGGTGGTGAGTGGACAGGTTTTAACAGGCTCCCCCTGATGGCTGTGTTGAGAATAGCTATGGGGGGAAGTTTGGAGGTCACTGCGGTGACAGAAGACGTGGCTAGTTCAAGGTGGTGGCAGTGGAAGCATTGATATAAGTTCACTGTGTCTTTGGAAGCCTGGGACCTTTGGCACTGCCTTGTGGCACCCAGAGGGTATTTTCTCCATGGGATAAAGACAGCTTGCACATAGACACAGGAGGAGGGGAGAGGAAAAGTAGTGGTGTAGTGATTCATTTCTGGCACTTCTAGATGACCACTTCTGAAATCTTATTTGACCTGAGTTACAAACAAGGGAAATTGTAATCTTCAGTGTTTTTGGTTTCTGTTTAAGAACCCACACTCTCCAAAAAGATTGAACATCTGGTTTGTACATGACTAGATAAAAGACCTTATGAAAATGGCAAGGCTCATGCTTACATTTCCTGCTTTGCTCCTGGGTTCTGTTTAGGCTGCTGTGTGGAGAGAGACTGTCCTTTTGTATGTTCCCACGGGTTCAGTTGACCTTGGATTGATTACTATGGCTCCCCCTGTCTTGGTGATGTTGATCTGAGACTTGGGGTGCATGTAGGTGTGGTAAAGAGGTAGATACCCTAAAGGGTGGGAGGGGCCATTCAAAAGAGCAGCCTGTGCATCTAGGTTCATTTGGTCCTTTCTCTTACAGAGACTGTCATTTGTTGATGTGGCAACTGGATGGCTCGGGCAAGGACTTGGGGCCGCTTGCGGGATGGCATATACTGGCAAGTACTTTGACAGAGCAAGGTAAGGCACACCGAGTAACTGCTTGTTTCCACCCCATCCCTCGGGCACTTTGGCTTTATTTATGGTTTATTAGTTTGGGAAGATGGTAATTGTTTTGAAAGTTCAGACTACCACGTGTTCAAGCAGTAAAGAAATCATGTTTCTGGAAACTGTTCTAGCTTCTCTGGTTAGGTTCTGCAGTGTAGAAACTGGTTTATTTCTATTATTTTCTAAGAGTGACAGCTTTCTATTTTGCATCTCAGTGAGCTTCATTATAGAGTGAATAGCTGGTGCATTTGCATTAGGGACCCCTATATGTTAATAATCAAAGGGTTCTTTTTCTACAGTGGCTCTTTGATCTCTCATTATTGTTCTATTAGTCCTTATCCTGCGGTTAATAAATTTTTTAAAAATTTTGCAGCATTTTTGTGGGGTATGGGTTGTGTTTTATTGGTATTAACATGTTTGTGCTTTTGTTGCGGAGAAGTTTACCATTTGCAACAGAACATACGCTCCTGAGGTAGAATGTTTTGATTGTTATGATTATTGTAAATAAATTTGTAAGATGACAGTGCTTAAAACGAAGCTTATTGAGAAAACCTGTATATTTAAAATGTCATTTGGGGTTTAAGGGGGCTACTTTCTCCCCATCCCCTCGCTTATGGATCCCAGAGAAATGGCAGAAGAACGCTGGAATGAGAAAACTGGCCAAAGGTGAAGTCCATCTTGTGAGGCCCAAGTTTTTAAAGCTGTGTTTCCTTAGCTGTCAAGTTTGGACAGAATTGACAATGGAAATGGTCTTAGGAACTTAATGATGTGAAGCAACTGTTTCAGTCTGTTCCTTTGTTTCTCTCCATGAAATATATTTGTTTGAGTGATCCAGAAGATCCCTAAGCCCAGTCTTAACATTTCTTGGCTTGCCCCAGCTACCGCGTGTTCTGCCTCATGGGAGATGGCGAGACCTCTGAAGGCTCCGTCTGGGAGGCATTGGCTTTTGCTTCCCACTACAATCTGGACAATCTTGTGGCCATCTTCGACGTGAACCGCCTGGGCCACAGTGGTGCCTTGCCCGTTGAGCACTGCATAGATGTCTATCAGAAGCGCTGTGAAGCCTTTGGGTAACTATTGTCCTGTTTTATGTCACCTTCTTTCTGTCCAATCTTCCCTTCACCTTGTAACCTGGCATTCTCCTGGGTTGACAGGTGGAATACTTACGTGGTGGATGGCCGTGATGTGGAGGCACTGTGCCAGGTGTTCTGGCAGGCAAGTCAAGTGAAGAACAAGCCCAGTGCTGTAGTTGCCAAGACCTTTAAGGGCCGGGGCATTCCAAGTAAGCAAATGTTTTCTTTTTGCTTAGGGTTATTAAAAACATCTGTCTGCATAGCGATGTGGCAGAAGGAGGCTCAGGATGGCAAGGCAGAGAAACTGGCTTAGTGCTCAGTGATTATGCCTGTAATATGTGCTGGAGGCTCTTGCTTGGCCATCATAGATAGCAGGTCTGATTAGGGTTGGAGGAGAAGCCCAGACCCCCAGCAAGTGAGCAGTGGTTTTCTTTGTGCAGGAGGGAGTGGCTAGGAGGGTAGTCCATCAGTTAGAGAACTGGCAGAGAGTGAGCTTCACAGGAGTGCAGAGTGAGAAAGAGTGCTACTATGTGCATGAACAGATATGCAAGTAAGGGCATGCATACATGCATGCACCCTTGCCTGTGCCTACACTGTCTTGGGGGACACATAGGGAACTAGTGAAGCAGCACCTCTGGGAAAGGTGCCTATGGAACTGAGGGTCAGGGAAGGAAGGGCGTTTTGAAAGTCTTCTTGCAGATTTCAAAGCTGACACCTGAAATTACTCAAGTATAAAGAGTTGCAAAGGGTGTGATTCCTGGTGTGTTTCAGTATTAGTGCTTTAGAATAAAACTGTTCCGTGACTCCTCCCTAAAATAGTCCTTTTTTTTTAAGATTTTATTTATTTGACAGAGACACAGCGAGAGAGGGAACACAAGCAGGAAGAATGAGAGAGGGAGAAGCAGGCTTCCCACCAAGCAAGGAGCCCGATGCGAGGCTTGATCCCAGGACCCTGGGATCATGACCTGAGCCCAAGGCAGACGCTTAATGACTGAGCTACCCAGGCGCCTCCTTAAGATACATAGTCTTAACTATGGTATCCCCAGTTCAGTAAATGACCACTTGACCAAGTTTGCTCCTGGGAGAATTCTGGGTATTATCTTTGGCCTTCACCTCTCCCTTATGTGCCCCCTACATGCAAATCCAGTCTGTCATCAGTTCTGATGGATTCTGCTCCTAGAGTAAGTATATCTCAGACCTGCTCACTGCTTTCCATCTCCTGTGCTCAGACCCGTGTGGTCTCTCCTTAATTATAGTCTTCCCAGGCCAATCTCCACACAGCCACTGTGGTGATCTTTCTATATTTAAGATCTGATCAGTCACCTCCCCGCTCCAAATTCCTCAGTGGTTTCCTGTCTTGCTTCTGACAAAACTCAAACTTTATACCCACAGGATTTTCCATGGTCCAACCTGCCTGTCTCTCCAGCCTCATCCCCCACACTCTCTTCTCCATTCACCAGTATATGGGGCAGTGGCCCTACTCAAGAGCCTCTGGGACTTTTTAGGCTGTCCTGTGGGGCTGCAGTACCAACTCAGGCTCGGCTCCCTGTGCCAGGTTTTTACTCCTGAGTCCTTGGCTGACATCTTTTCCATCAGGGTGTCTTTGAGATGACCTAACAGACACTCAATTACATACTTAAGGAACGAATGTCTTTCATTTGGCTGCAGGTGTTGAAGATGCAGAAAATTGGCATGGAAAGCCAATGCCAAAGGAAAGAGCTGATGCAATTATCAAACTAATTGAGAGCCAGATACAGACTAACAAGAATCTTGAACCAAAACCCCCTATTGAAGACTCGCCTGAAGTCAATATCGCGGATATAGAAATGAGCTCTCCACCTGCTTACAAAGTCGGTGAGCAGGTAGGCAAAGTGTTCTCTGCTTTTTTTAAATACAGGACTCTTCATGTACTCTGATCTCCATGGATGAACCAGTTATTAGATTGCATGATACGTAACTAAAGGTTACAAGCAATAGAGGTGGTTTTAGTGTCTCTTTTACTATTTTTTTAAGATTTTACTAATTTATTTTTTATTATTATTTTTTTTTTACTAATTTATTTTTGAGAATGAGCGGGAGGGAAGGGGGCAGAGGGAGAAGCAGACTCCCCACCAAGCAGAGCAGGGAGCCCGATGCAGGGATTCTGACGCCGGACTCGATCCCAGGACCCCGGGATCATGACTTGAGCCGAAGGCAGACACTTAACTGACTGAGCCACCCAGGCACCCCTCACCAAACTGAATTTTCTTAGCAGTCAGCTGATACTTATTAACACCTAGTACTGCACAGCTTTTGCTTGCAAAATTCAGTTTGTGGTCTGGCAGACTCATGTGCATGAAACTGCCACTATTTTGTGTCTACTCTTAAGGGTGGGGACCTGGCTTCGAACTTACTCCCTAGATTACAGAAAGAAGTAGATCAATTCATCAAAGACCAATTCTTCAAAAAGGAAACAAATTAGGCATGAAACCCTGAATATAAAGCCTTTTACCATGTTTATATCTTGCTTTTTAGTATATTACAGCAGACCCAAAATAGGCAGTGTCTTCAGGACCTAAGAAAACAAGCTGGTGATGAGCCCAAGAGGAAGGAAATATTTTCTAATCCTTCTTTGTTTTTTTTATTTGGAGACATTTGTAGTGTTGCTTATGTTTTCTTGTTCTGGTAATATGGGTTGAAATAAATGAATTTTGACTACTCAAGAAATTAGAAAGCAAAGAGCAGAGAAAGGTGTTAATCAGGGAAAAGCACATGTTAACGAAGGATACTTTGGCAACATTTTAAACTGCACACTTGGAACTAATAGAACTCATGGGAATTTATTCTACAGAAGTGTGCAGATGAATCTCTAAGAATGAATGTTGATTGCAGCATTGAATGCTGAGGAAATTGGAAATGACCCATCTAGAGGCTAAGAACTTGCCCAAATTATTAAAATTTTTTTAAAAATATTTATTAGAACATGAGCAGAGGGAGAGGGAGAAGCAGACTCCCCCCTGAGCAGGAACCACCCCCCCATTATGACATGAGCCATAAGCAGACACACAACTGAGCCACCTAGGTGCCCTATTATTAAAATTTTTTAAAGTTGTAAAGCAGCATAGAGTATAATTCTCCTTTGTGTAGAAAATCTTAAAAGGGGGCATCATAGGGTCACCTAGGTGCTCAACAAATATTTGTTCATAGACTATTCCTGAAAAGATGCTACATAGACTCATCATTTCTGCCTACCTCTGGACAGGGGACTGGGTGGCTGGGGGACAAGAGATCAGGGAGAAGATGGCCTCTTTGCTCCATAGCCTTTCACATCTTGAATTTTGGACTGTCTACGTGAATTGTTTATTTAAAAAAATAGGGGCACCTGGGTGACTCAGTTGGTTAAGCATCTGACTCTTGGTTTCAGCTCAGGCCATGATGTCAGGGTTGTGAGATCAAGCCCCACATCAGGCTCTGAGCTGGGCATGGAGCCTGCTTGAGATTCTCTCTCTTTCCCTCTGCCCTTCCTGCCCCCCCAAAAAATACATTTTAAGTGTTTAGATAAAGACAAAGAAGCAAACTTTTTTTTAATAATGGCTTTATTGAGAGAATGACTCCCTATATATATAATCATCCATTTGAAGTGTACAATTCAATGGTTTAAACATATTAACCGCATCCTGCAACTATCACCACACTCAATCTTAGAGTATTTCCATCACCCCCGGAAGAAACCCTACCCCCAGGGTGTCTGGGTGGCTCAGTAGGTTAAGCATCTGCCTTGGGCTCAGGTCATGATCCTAGGGTCCTGGGATTGAGCCCCACTTTGGGCTCCCTGCTCAGCGGGGAGCCTGCTACTCTCTCTCCCTCTGCCCCTCCCCCTCAACTCATGCTCTCTCAAATCTTTAAAAAAAGGAAAAGAAACCCCACACCCATTAACGGTCACTCTCCATTCCGTCCAGCCCCTAGTGACTACTCATCTATTTTCTGTTTATGTAAAGTTGCTTATTTTGGACATTTCATATAAATGGGGTCATATACTATGTGAAATTTTTGCCTGGTTTCTTTGCCTTAGCACAGTCACTGAGGTCCATCCCTGTTGTGGCATGTACAGCATTGCATTTTATGAATATGCCATACATTTTGTCTACCTATTCAATCCTTGATGGACATTTGGGTTGTTTCTACCTTTTGGCTATTGTGAATATTGCTGCTTTGAACATTTGTGCACAAGTTTTTGTTGAGATATATTTTTCTCTTGGGTATATACCTAGGAGTAGAACTGTTGGGTCATGTGGTAATTCTCTGAGGAAATGCCAAACCTTGATTTCTAATAGAAAAACTCAATATTGTGAAGATGTCAGTTCTCCCCTAAATTCATAAATTGAGTCCAATCTCAAATAATATCCTAATGGCATTTTTTATTACTGGTATCATGATTCTAAAGTTTTACATTCTATTTTTTTGTAGTTAGCCTTTATCAGTTTTATAGTTTTTTTTTAAAGATTTATTTGACAGAGACACAGCAAGAGAGGGAACACAAGCAGGGGGACTGGGAGAGGGAGAAGCAGGCTTCCCACTGAGGAGGGAGTCTGATGCGGGGCTCGATCCCAGGACCCCGGGATCATGACCTGAGCCGAAGGCAGACGCTTAACGACTGAGCCACCCAGGCGCCCCTCAGTTTTATAGTTTAAAAAAGTCACAAGCATTTGCACTTTGTGACATTTAAATTTTTTGATAAACTATAGGAATGGGGCAGAAGAATAAATTTATTTTTGAGAATCAATAGCCAGTGAGCCAAGTATGGATTTAAGATTGGCTAGCAACCCATTTTTAAGATCCTAAAGGAGATTATTGGTGAATCATGAATTTCTTTGTTAAGATAGAAGACAATTTGTAATCCACAAAATTTCACCTTCCTCCTAAATCTGCTCTAAGAAACTGCACTGTTTGACTTTTCCAGATAGCTACTCGGAAAGCATGTGGTTTGGCTCTGGCTAAGCTCGGCCATGCAAATGATAGAGTCATTGTGCTGGATGGTGACACCAAGAACTCCACCTTCTCAGACATATTCAAGAGAGAGCACCCTGAGCAATTCATCGAATGTTTTATTGCTGAGCAAAACATGGTGTGTGTGCTGTGGGCGTCCCTCTTGGGTCTTCACACTGACTAACAGTTGCCTACTGGGCACAGGAGGCCAGCCCCAAATTACAGTTTTCTTTCCACTTATAAAAGCAAAGGAACTAGAGAAAAAAATTCTCTCAGGAAACAAAGAGTAGCCAGGCAGTTTGTGGGGTGGTTTCTGGGACTGCTAGGAGGGGCATAGTAGACTGTCCAGAACCATCTCCAGGTACACTAAGGGCAACAGGCCAAGAGTCACAGCCATGACCCCAGGGCTCCAGACCTGAAGTATCCCAAGCTTGCCAGCAGCTTTAGGTGTTCTTTAGGTGTTAGGAAGATCTGTCAGCATGGAGACAGCATTCCCTCCTCCTACCAGTTGACTAGAGCCAAGCAGGGACCCCCCCTTTAGATGGGTGTCCACAGCCAGTTGGCTATGTCCCTGCCTCCACCAGCCTGTGCATTCATGGTGCTTCTCTGGCAACCATTCCAAGGGTGTTCTGATTCATCTTTGTGTTGCAGGTGAGCGTGGCACTGGGATGTGCCACCCGTGGTCGGACCATTGCTTTTGCTAGCACCTTCGCTGCCTTCTTGACCCGAGCATTTGATCAAATCCGGATGGGAGCCGTCTCTCAAATCAACATCAACCTTATTGGGTCCCACTGTGGGGTATCTGTTGGTATGAGTTCTCAGTGCTTCATATTGATAGCCTTCTTCCTTTACAGAGAAAGATTAGCATGTGAGCGATTGACCCACCAGTGTACTTGGGAGTTCCATAATGTTTGATCATTTATAACCTCTTTTTTTCATGCCATGTTGTGTTGTAAAAGTTCCAGGCTCTGGGTTACTTTTGAGAGGATTTCTTGGTGTTACTGTAAAGTGCCCACTCTTTCAGTTATTGAGAAACAGCGATCTGTCCTGATTGCCCATTATGTGTCGAGCTGCATACTGGGTATGAATCAGGCCACCCCAGCATCACAGACTTCCTTTCTGCTCTTAGTGTGGTGCCCTTTGTCTAAGTGGGGACAAGCAGCATGGGTCCAGGGAAGTGAGCACAGATCACCAGGGCTCTCTGCCTAGGCTGAGCTTCCTGGTCAGTTGGAACCAGAAGCCTTGAAGAGTGGGATGCAGAGGAGTGAGGCTGAGGCAAATACAGCTCTAGGGCATTAAAGGCTAGACGGAAACAACGGGAAACAGGGAAGTCAGAGAAAGGATTGAGTTACGGTGTGCATTAGCAGTAGATAGAAAGTGAGGGTGAATCTGTGAGAGTCTGAAGAAAGAGGTCAACATTTCTGACCGGTGGAGGAGTCCAAAATTGCACAAAAAGTTAAAAAAGGTCTCCAGTAATTTCTTACTTGAGAGACATCAGGGAGTTGTGTTCATGAATGACAGAAATGACAAGATGTGCCTGTGGTGGAGTAGGTCCTCTAGGTAGATGTGACAGCTTGTGTACACTGCTAGAATGCTTGAGGGGAGGGGGCCTGGGAAGTAGACTTTGGGAGTCCTCTCTGGGACTTACTGGGAGAAGTCTTTGAATGGGCCAGATGGTAGGTGCAGAGTGGGAAGAGAGAAAGGCCAACAGCATTTCAGGACTGAGCCAGGCAGACAGCCTGGCCCAGAGTCCAGGGTCTTTGCCCGGGGTCAGGTGTAGTGTAAGTGTTAAAATCAGTCAGCTGAGTGACGAAGTGGCTCTAGGTCCAACCAGAGGAGCTAGGGTCCTAAGGTTAGATAGTTGTCCCAGGCAAGGCACTGTGCACAGTGACCGTCCCTTTCCTAGCCGGAAGAGCTAGGCTGCTGTGGTGTACATTGGGCTTTCTCTTTGCTCAGCATTTCTGGCCAGAAACTCTCTTCCCCAGCATACCCTAAGACCCCCTTTACTTAAAACAGCACCCCCAAGAGTACCCCAAACGTATGCTCAGCTACTTTGAAGGTCTCAAGAAATGAGTAAGACCATTTCAATTTGATACCCCAGTCTCTTGACGGACAATATAGAAGAGGAGAAGGAAGGACAGGATCCTCCTAAGGAGAAGACGGCAGGGGCACAGAGACTTGATGGGGCCAACTTGGCTACCAGAGCTCAGGGAAAAGAGCATCAAGTCACCTTGGATAGTGGTGCCAATGACTGAATGCCAGACATTGGCAAGGGTCAGGGCCAGATAAGACCACTGGTATTTTGATCTGGAAGGTCAATTAGGATCCTAACCCACAGTGTCACTATGATGTCTCAAGGGAAATAGAGATGTGACAGCTCATTATAATTATAAGGCATCATGTTGACAAAAGAACGGTTTTGTAGGGTTCTGCTATAGGTGTGGGGTCCCCCCCCATGGTAATAAGCTGTTCCTTATCCAGCAGAGGGCAGGTTCCCAGTTGGCCCTTGATCATATTTTTGTCGGGCTGTGGCTTTGCTTTCCCAGGTGAAGATGGTCCCTCCCAGATGGCCCTGGAAGATCTGGCCATGTTCCGATCCGTTCCCAACTGCACTATTTTCTATCCAAGTGATGCCGTCTCAACGGAGCATGCTATTTTCCTGGCAGCCAATACCAAGGTATTTTTAAGGGGACATTGGTTCGGACAGAAAATGCTTCTGGGCTCTGCTGCTAGTTTGATACTGATGGTTGGGTTTTTCCCAGTTTTTTTCTCAGTGTAAAGATAATAGATACTCATTATGGAAGATAATGTAGGATTCCTTTAAAAAACAGAACAATTGCCCAAAAGTGATTACACACATAAAACGTGAACACAATCACGTACAAGTGCAAAAGGATGCCAAACAACATCTGATGGCCCATACGGGGCAGGGCTCAGCATGAGAGAAGAGTGTGCTCTGGAGGCTCCAAGAAGGGGGCTGTCAGCAATGCCACAGGAGTGGGCTCCAGCAGGCTCAAATGCTGGTCTTAGATACACCCTGTGCCGTCGCCAGCTCGTGACATCCAGACAGCTGAAGAGTGGCCAGTGTCTCCATTGCAAACCTCAAAGTCCTCAGTCCTAAAGTCCTCAGTCCTAGTCTGCCCTCCGAACATCTTAGAATGACAAGAGTATGAATTCTGCCCCACTTGTTCCTCCTCATGTTTCACACAAGGGCAGCAGATGGACTCAGCCTAATTCCTGTCTAGAACCCAACTGCAGGGGAGACTAGAGGACAGAGTCTGTACCTTTTCATCTGCTCCAGCTAATGGTCACCAGACTCCCCTCAACACCCATCTTTGCACTCACCCATGGTCCTGCATAGACAGCCCTGGGCATGGTTGGGATAGGTTATGCAAGTTCCTAAGTATTTTTTTTTAAAGATTTTATTTATTTTTTGACAGAGACACACAGCAAGAGAGGGAACACAAGCAGGGGGAGCGGGAGAGGGAGAAGCAGGCTTCCCGCGGAGCAGAGAGCCCGATGCAGGGCTCAATCCCAGGACCCTGGGGTCATGACCTGAGCCGAAGGCAGATGCTTAATGACTGAGCCACCCAGGCGCCCCAAATTCCTAAGTATTTTTGGCACATTAGAGACCTATGATTCTTTGACCTTTTTTTTTTTTAAACCACTTTAAGTGGGCTCACACTGTATGTATTTGTCTATACTTTTTTGCTTACTATATCCTGGAAATTGCTTTATGTCTGTACATATATAGAATGATCTCCTATGTGCTGCAAGATCCCATTTCTTGAAAGTTCAAAAAAGGCAAAGCTGTGGTGATAGAAATTAGAGGTTGCTTTTCAGGTGGGGAGAGTGGAGAGAGACCTGAGGAAACTTTATGGCACATGCAAATGTTATTCATACTCAGGTGATTGGTGTGTGCCTTTGTCAGAATTCATGGAGTATTCCACTTAAGCAAATTTTATCTCAATAAAAGCACTGAATATAATTGGTTTATAACGTGAAGAAATGAACAGAGTGTTTCTAAATGAATATATCAATTTATAATGTGTAGTTTAAATATGTGTATAAATTACCAAATACTTTAAACACTTGAGTATTTATGCTCTATGTGTTCAAGTTGATAAAAATGTATTTACTTACATTTTCTCATTGGTAAAATAGCAAGTCTTTTTATATTCCAATGTGGAAGGTATTTCTAAGAATTAAGTATTACAAGTTATGGCAAAAATTAGTTGCTCACTTAACATTGTGTTCTGGGCTTTCTATTAAACATGAGTCAGTGCTGTGGCCTGAATTTGTGTTCTGTGGAGACAGAACGGGTCGGTGTATTTAAGAAAGCTTTCCTACCATTGAATATGACAGCATAGAAAGTTTGTCACTGAGGGCATCTGCCCAGGTCCTACATAGGCTTTTGCCTGGCTTGGTAGTAATCTGATTAGGTGACACTGACCTGTTTGCCAATGGTTGTAGATGCTTATTCTTTGTTCCAAAATGTGCACTTTGTTTTTAGTAAAAAGAACTGTTTAGTCTTCCTCCCCCCTCCCTCTTTTAAAACAGGTTTATTAGGGGCGCCTGGGTGGCTCAGTCGTTGAGTGTCTGCCTGTCTGCCTTCAGCTCAGGTCATGATCCCAGGGTCCTGGGATTGAGCCCCGCATCGGGCTCTCTGCTCCGCAGGAAGCCTGCTTCTCCCTCTCCATTCCCCCTGCTTGTGTTCCCTCTCTCGCGGTCTCTCTGTCAAAACAAATCTTCTTTGAAAAAAGTTTTTTTAAAACTTTTTTAGTTTGATTTTTTTAAAATTGTGGCTCTGGTTTTATGCTCTAGGGGATGTGCTATATTCGGACCACCCGACCGGAAACTGCAGTTATTTACACCCCACAAGAAAGCTTTGTGATCGGACAGGCTAAGGTAAGGCCTTAAAAGTTCTCCAGTGTCTTCTAGTATCCTTTCACGTGGAGAGAAGTGGTCTAAAGTTAGCACTAGGTATCCCCACAGTCAAGGTTTGATCCTTTCTTTGCTCTAGTTTTAAAAAAATCAATTGTGAGCTTTGCTTGCTTTTCCTCAGAAAGGAACATTCTATCACTGCCAGTATGAGGTAAACTTTTCTCTTTTCCAAATGGAGTTTCTCTTTGTTGAACTTGCAAGGATAAAGTGGTAACAACTTAAAAGGTACTTGAGTTTTTTGGGTGTAAATTACCACAGCCTCAAGCCAAACAAATAACAGAACCCATTTCAAATTAATAATCTGTTAGATTGGGGTTTTTTGCAGATCCAAGTCAAGAATAAAAGAGAACATGAATGCATTGCCCATGGGCCTGATAAAGGTTAGCATCACTGGGTATTTCCAATCTTCTGTGTTCTCACAAGAGCCCTAGAAGCACAGATTGTTAGCAGCCCTGTGTTGTAGATGAGAGAAAGGTAAGCAGCTTACTCAGGGTTCACAGTTAGTGAGCAGCAAGACCAAAACTCAGACCCAGGCATTGACCTGGCCTCTGTCGGGGCCATGAGTGCAGAAAACCAGCAGTGGCTCTGCTCCATCACCTGGAGAGCAGGGCTTACAGGTGTTTGGGCATGTTTCCTTCCTGCCTTTTTTAAGGCATATATATATATATATGGAGATCATGCTGCATCAGATAGTTTTATATTTTGCTTTTATCTTTTAAGCCTTTTTAGAATATCATCAATACTCAAATGTGTGAAAGAGCAGTAGCCAGTCTTAAAGGAGCAACATGTGACCTCTGACTTGATGGCTAACAGGCTACTGCAGAATTCGTTGTTTTTAGTGCTCAGAATGATTGAGCAGTGATTGGCTTTAGTGCCACAAAAAAGCAGGTTATCCAGAACATTCCATGACCTGCTCTACTAGGTAGCTGGACAGCACTGAATGAGAAAGCGGCAGTACTCACCTTCAGTGTTAACTGCAGGTTTTGTTGTTCCCCGCCCATACTCCCACATTGAAACTCAAGGCCATATGTTTGCCTCTGAGGGTGGAGGGGGTGGGTCTCGGTGACATCATGTGATTTGCAGAGCTTTTTCATATCCTGTCTTTTTTTTTCCCCCCTAATATTTGCCCCGTCCTGACAAAATGAAGTAAATTTCCTGACGGTAAAGGATGTGAGTTAAAATGTGTGATAATGTGCATGCCATGGATAATTCAATAGCTAGGTTTTGCAAAGAGCACATAGGGTGTGGGAGAGTGTGTGTGTGTTTATACGTATGCATATGAAAAAACTAGGACATTCTCAAAGAATGTTGTGGTTTAGAAGCCCTGAATATTTGTACTGTCAGCAGTGGTTCTTAAGCTACAAGGAAACCTATTCAAAGGGATGAAATGAAGAATAATTTCAGATGCCTTTGGTTGGGTGGCTTTGGAGAAAATAAAACTCTACCAAAAAAGGCTAAGCCCCTGTCTTTGCTTGCAGAATAGCAAGTGGTTAAGAGTGTGGGCTTTGGTGTCAGATGGGCCTGGCTGCTAGCCTCAGTGCTAAGCTGGGCGAGTTCCTCCCACTCTGAGATTCACTTTGCCCAGCCACAGAATGAGCCCCCAATGCATGGGCCTTACGGGGCATTTGGGCATGCAAGGTGCTGGGCACAGAGCATGTTGCAAATGCCCCAAAATGATCCCCGTTAACTTGTTCATTATCAGAGTCCAATCTGTGTGCATGCCCCAACAAGATGTCCAAGTAGTCCAGGGATGGTGCCTTTCTAGACCTCTGTGAGTGAGTCTGTGGTCTGCAACATATGGTCCATACAACTTGCTTCTGGCCTGCCTTTCAGATCCCAGTTTGAAATCCAGCTTCTTTGCTAGAGGGTATTCTATAAGAACTTAGTAATTAGGCACCGTAAATCATGAAGTATGATACATGAATTTCTAAAAATGAACATTAGGTAGGGTTTATCAAAAAGGGTGTCCTTGTTAGTGTACTGATTCAGCTTTTTATAGTGAGTTAAGAAGTGAAATTGGTAGGATTGTGGAAGAGCAGCATAGCAGTGTTCTCTTTGAGATGCGTTCTGTGCATAGTAACTACAGCTTTTTTGTTCTATGGGCACAATACCAGGTCGTCCGCCACAGTGTCAATGACAAAGTCACAGTTATTGGAGCTGGAGTTACTCTGCATGAAGCCTTAGCAGCTGCCGAAGATCTTTCCAAGCAAGGTCAGTTGGTTGTTGCTGGACATTGAAGTTTAAGCTGGGGAGAGGTAGGACTTGGGCTGCCTCATGTGCCCCAATTGGTCTTTATTCTAAGTCTGTTTCACATACAAAGCTGGATATTGATCTTCTCCAGATATTTCCATCCGTGTCATCGACCTGTTTACCATTAAACCCCTGGATGTTACCACCATTATCTCTAATGCCAAAGCCACAGGTGGCCGTATTATCACAGTGGAGGATCACTACCCACAAGGTATGTGCAAGGCTTGAAGATCATTTTGTAAGTCTGCTTTGGCGGGATGTGTTTTTGATTTCCATGACTGGAAGCATGACATGTCCCTGGGTATCATCCAGCCAGACACTCATCTAACAACTGTTATTGCTGCTTTTTGCAAGTGTATTGTTGTATAGGGGTCTCTTAATCCACCTACACTTGTTCCTTAGGGTGAGGTCATGCCCATACTCATTTGTGTGACCTCAGCACAGTGCAGCGCCTGGTGCCCAGGTGGCTCAGTGGCAGCACAAAGGAGTGTCTAACTCAGCATTGTGGGTAGGGAGGGGTCTTAAAAAGCTTCACAGTTGTGCTTGAGTTTTGAATGATTAATAATTTGCTCCCCTCTCAAAAGGGGAATAGTGCCTTGCAAGCAGAGAACACAGCAAATGCAGAAAAACTGTGACTAGGGAGAGGGAGCTGGGAAGGTTAGGTGGGACATATGAGGGAGTGGGGAGTTTCATATGTTCATGTGTCAGGGGCCCAAGAACACACCCGTGAGCCATAGTGATTTTCTAGGAGCAGTCTCAGCGCTTTCACAGCTGAGGTTTATTATAGGGAAAGGACACACACCAGGACCCACGAGAACAGAAGACCCAGGTCAGGAGCGGAGAACCCCATACCTTCAGTTCCTTTTCTCCCTTCCATGAGGGGCCTGTTGAGTGCTCTCCTTTCTCCAGGAGTGACAAATTGCATCACTGGAGACACAAGGAACCCACTCAAGACTCAGTACCTGGGTTTTATTGGGCACTGGTCACACCCCCTCTGCCAGACACCAAACTTCCTGACTCCCAGAGGAAAACAGGTGCTCACAGGGCCTCGCACCAGCCCATTGCCCAGGTGTCAGCCAAGGGCCTGCCTAGTCGTTCTTTTTTGTATAGTTTATTGGATGGTTTAATCATTTTGGGGTTCCTGAGAGCCTTAAGAACCTGAGCTTGTAGACCCCCTGCATCTGTGGAGCCCCAGTTGAGAGCACTCCTGCTGTAGTGGGGCTGGGAGCAATTTGGAGACTCACAGGTTTTGTGGGGGTTTTTTTTTTAAAGATTTTATTTATTTAGAGTGGGGAGAGGGAGAGGGAAAAGCGGACTCCCCACTGAGCAGAGACCTCGGTCCCAGGACCCTAAGATCATGACCTGAGCCAAAAGGCAAACACTTCAACTGAGCCACCCAGGCAACCCTGGAGACCCACAGTTTTGAATGAGGACTTTTCTGGCTAGTCAGAGGATGACTGTTCCATGAATCAGTGCCTAGGGAAAAATATTTTTCCCAAGGAACCAGCAAATTCAAAGGCCTCTATACTTTGGGGCTTTAAGGCTGACTAGCCACTACCAGAATAGAGCCTCATGTCCCTTGTTTCCCCAGGTGGCATCGGGGAGGCTGTCTCTGCAGCTGTCTCCATGGAGCCTGACATCTTGGTCCATCAGCTGGCAGTGCCCGGAGTGCCTCAGAGTGGGAAGCCGAGAGAGCTGCTGGATATGTATGGAGTCAGTGCCAGACACATCATAGTGGCCGTGAAATGTATTTTAATGAACTAAAATACATTAGTTGGCATTAGACTTAGAATACTGGCTTCTCTACTTTACATTTATGCTGTTGCCAGACTTATCATTTAAATCTATACAGTTATATTTTCTTGAAAATCTAAGCAAGTTAACTACTTTCCTGTTAAACCATAACTACATATACAAGTGTAACTCGTCTTTGACTCATTAAAGTGTGTTATAAGATTACAAATAAGAGAATAGCTGACAAAACAACCACATAAAAGTTTTCTGATAACGGGTAACTGGGTTAGGGATCAACGTAGGATAAGTTTCTTAAATGTGTACTGTAAGTAAAGAAAGTGTATATTGCACCGTCAACTGCATCGCTCACGTGTTGTGGCCCTGTAGCACCCTGCCACACACAGCTGTCCTCAACCCATCCTACCTGCAGCTTCCTAGGGACAGTGTGACTGTAGGTGCCCTGGAACCTCCTCTGGCGTTTGCCTTCATCTCCTCTGGACAGGGCGGAGGCTGTGGAGCAGCAGTGGAAGCTCTCCGGGTGTCCTGTGCTGTGACAAGAGGACACAAACTAGTTCTAGTCTCCACACTGCACTCCTTTGTGAGCGCGCTCAAATGTCTCATTTGCCCAGGGACCAAACTGTTAGTTCAATCCTATTCATCTGCTATAAGGGTACTAGTTAATGTTAATAAAGCATTTAAAAAACCCACCTGCTTTACTCTATTCGTGCTTTGTGTACATGTGATTTTGGTTTCTCCTTAATAAAGTTCTATTTAAGGAAGGAGTTTCTATCTAAACCAGGAAAGAGAGTTACGTTCCCCTACAATAGAAGCCCAAGGAAAAGGTATTAGGCAGGAGGTGTACCACTAGAGGATAGTGTATGGCTTGAGCTGACAAGAGGAATGCCTGATATGTCATGGTCCTAATTTTTACTGCCCTCATTGACTGGTCAACAGGGGTCTTTGTTCGAGAATATATGGTAGAGACCCAGAACTATCCTGGTACTTGGGAGTCCTCGTAGGGGCCTACTCACTCTGCTCCTGTGCTTTTTAAATCACTGAACTGGTTTCCTGGCCTGTGAAATTAGCATGATGATTGCTGTGCTTGTTTCACGAGATTTCAAAAACATTTTTGTGTAAGATGATGGAAGATAAAACATCAATACATAAAAATATTAAAAATATCAAATGGATTTTTAAAAAAAAGTAACAGTTGATACAGGGTCACTGTAGAAAATTTAGGAAATACAAATAAAATTTTGAAATTTTGACCTCACTTAACCATCTCACACTCCATACAAGTCACCCTTTTAAACTGCACAATTCAGTGGTTTTTAGTATACTCACCGAGTTGTGCAACTATCACCATGATCCGTTTTAGGACTCCAAAAAGAAATCCTGAATCCCTTAGTAGTCACTCCCATTCCCCTTCCCAGCCCCTGGCAACCACTCATGTATTTTCTGTCTCTGGATTTGCCTCTTCTGGACATTTCATATGAGTAGAATTGTACAGGATATGGCTTTTTGGGCTTTGGCTTCTCTCACTTCATGTAATGCATCTGAGGTTCATCCACATGGTAGCATGTGCCAGGACTCCCTTCCTTTTTATGGCCACATAATCCTTCCTATGTATATACCACATTTTATTCATCAGTTGGACGTTTAGGTGCTGCTCACTTTTTCTGTTGTGAATAATGCTACAAACATTCTTACCTAAGTTTGTGGATGTGAATTTTCAGTTCTCTTGGGTGTATATAAATCTGAGTGGAGTTGCAGATCTGTAATTTCTGTTTACTACTTTTCGTGCATGTGTGTGGGGGGGGGAAGTTTGTGAGGAGTGGGAGACAGTGAATTATGAAGGTGACCTGACCTCTGTAAAGCACTGGATACCCTTAGGGATAGCCATTATGAATACAGCCAGAATGTATGGCCACGCATGAGCACCACATCTACTCTGATTCAGGTGTAAAATGCCCCATCTGGTGAGATCGACAACAAAAATAGAATAAAGTAAATACTATCCATGATGAAAGCGCTGTTCCAAAAGCCTAAATTCGGGCCCCCACAGGTGCTAGGCAAAAACAGTAGGACCCACTTGGTAACAGGCTGAGATGAGCCATGATCACAAAGAGAAGGAAATGGACTTGTAGCCAGCTTCACTCAGCTGTAGCTCCTGAGTACAGAGTAGCCGAAGCAACAGGAGGAGGAAGCACACCATCCAATCGTGTAGGTGCTAAAATAGGTCTGAATGTTGGGGGGAGTATACCCTTTTTGCCTCAGTTTTTTCATCTGTAAAGGGATGACGGTGCTGATGATGGTGATAATATCTCATAGGGCTGTGGCCAGGATTTTAGAAGTGCCATCGAAATGTCCCCACTGACGGCCTCTTTCTTCCGGGCGTATTCCTACTCCCCAGGCCCAGCCTCGACCCGCCCCTCCCCCCCCTCCCCAGTGCTCAAGCCCCTTCTGGGCCTCATCCCGGGCTTCTCAGTGACTAGGCCCCGCCTTTCCCGTCCCTGGCCAGCCCTCTCCTCCTCCTCCAGCAGCCCTGGCTGCTCGCACCCACCTCCAAATCGCCTGTGCTGCCCTCCTGGGGCTCCCTCTACCCACCGTTTGACACCGCCTCACTCCAGCCGTGCCCGCCCGCCTGGCCGGCCCTGCGCCCCCCTCAGTACCGGGCCAATCTGAGAGCGGGAGGCAGCCGGGCCACGTTGTTGGGTTTTGTCCCGTCACTCATTGGGCTCCAGCCAATCAGCGTTGCTTGCGCCAGGCGGGTGCCGGAGCGGGTCAACGCCCTGAACAACGAACCTCCGCGCGGGTGCTTAGCTGGAGCCCCCGGGGTGTGAGGAGCTGCAAAGCCCAGGTCTCCAGGGACAAGTCGGAGAAGGGGCCCTGCCCTTAACCTCGGGCCAACCAGCGATGGACAGAGGTATGGCCAGAGAGAAAGGGACACTGGTGGTTGGGGGGGGTGATGGCCTTGGAGGGGCAGGGCTGCGGGGGTGCTGGAGGGTGGAGATGGGTGGAAGTGCAAGTATGGTGGTGGCAGAGGTGTGCAGCACAGGCCCCTCCTGCACTACCAAAGTGAAAGGAAAATGATAACGCGACACAGTGTTCCTCTTCAACTCAGACCTCTGGAGCAAATGGGGTCTGGGAGCTTTTTTTTTTTTTTAAGATTTTATTTATTTTTTTGACAGAGAGAGACACAGCAAGAGAGGGAACACAAGCAGGGGGAGTGGGAGAGGGAGAAGCAGGCTTCACTCTGAGCAGGGAGCCCGATGCAGGGCTCCATCCCAGGACTCTGGGACCATGACCCGAGCCGAAGGCAGACGCTTAATGACTGAGCCACCCAGGCGGCCCTGGGAGCTGACTTCTCTAGTCAGAGCAGCCCACCCACAGGCACACCAGCCAAGCTGTGGCCTTGCTTGCCACAAGAAGCTAAGACAGTTACCTTCCACCTTACTGAGCTGCCATCCAGCCATTCTTGGGATCGGAAAAGCAGTGGCCTGGAATTTAGGAATACTAAAAAGATCCCACAACTCATTCCCTATTCGGTGTGGAGGACAAATAGCAGAGTTACAGAACACTCAAGGGAGGAGCCCAGGAGTGCACCAGGGGAAGAAGGGGCAGAGATGCAATATGCTCTCACACTTAATATATTCCTGTCCTGGAGCATGCTGAGGCTCAGGGAAACTGGTGGCACCCCCATTCTCAGCTTCAACTGAGGCCAACCAGATGTCCCAATGCCAGGCTTCAGGGTCCCGCTCCTCCAACCACCGCCCTACCT